GGACGAGGGGGAAGGAGAGGAGGGGAACAGGAAGGAAGGAAAGGGGGTGTCTCCTCCTCCTCCTCCTCCTCATCATCATCATCATCATCACCATCATCCTTTCCGTTACCATCATCATCAGCAGCATCATCACAATCATAATGATCATCATCACCATCACCAGCATCAACATCACCACCATAATCATCACCACCATGATCATCACCACCACCATCATCATCATCAACAACATCATAATCATCATCATCATCCTCATCATCACCATCATCATCGTCACCGTCACCGTCATAATCATCATCATTCTCTTCCGCTCTTCCTCCTCCCTCCTCCCTCCTCCTCCTCCTCCTCCTCCTCCTCCTCCTCCACCTCGTCGTCGTCGTCAACAGCATCACCATCAGGAGGGCCCCCTCCAGGTCCATGCAGTCACTGGCCCATTGAGCTGCCCAGGGGCGTGGGGCCAGGGGAACACGGGGGGCGCACCCCCGAAACGAGGTGCGCCATTCCGCGCCTTGAGCCTCCAGAGAGGAGAAGAGGGGGGAAGCAAAGACCCAGCCTCCAGGCCCCCTCCCCGCCCTGCACTGCTTGACGACAAAGACTCCTCGACCATCCACCTGTCTCCCCAGCGAGCGGCCACTGGAGGAACTCCCCGAGCACGCTTGCTACCATACCCTCCTACAACAAAAACGCGGAGGTTCGAGGTAACCTCGTGAGGCCTGGAACGCGTGTTGCAGAACTCGATGTCGCATGTGGCCCGATCCCACCGTCTTGAGCTGCTTGCCGCACCGTGGCCATTTTATGAGGTCGGTCGCGCTGCCGTGAGAAAGGAACTGGTGTGGCGTGGCTGGGGTGCATTCGCTGCAACTGGTGCCTGCCTGACTTGCGCAGAAACGGAGTACGTCCCATCTCACGACACTTATCGGGTGCCGAGCGGGCCACTTAGAACTACACCGCCGCGATGAGGAAGCACCATGGACGGCGCTGGTTGGCGTGCCAAGCCTGTGCCGCACGTGCAAAGCTCTGCAACGCCCTGAGCGAGAGACGGCTCCGAGAGGGCCGCAGCTGCGCGCCCATGCTCAATCACAGCCGCCGCCGCAACCGCGCTTCAGAGGGCGAGACGAGCTGGGCTGCGCGCGCACACGCAAGTGTCTCCGCCAAGGCGCTGGTATTGTGAGCCACGCGCCGAGGGTGGCAAGGCATAGGGTAAAGTCGGGCCTGTCCTCCTACATGGGGTTTTCGACGAAAAATTAAAATTTTCTAAAAAGACACCAGCATGACAAAACAAATGATAAACAACTCGTCGCCAGACTATGTTTTAACTATTTTGGAATATCCCTCCTGTAGAGGGAGAGGCCCGACTTTAAGGATAGGGGGGAAAGCTTCCTAGAACGAGGCACTGCTTCTTGGAAGGCGCTGGCCCTGCCGTCTACACGGAGAAGGCCCGCGCCCTTTCAGAGGCAGGGGTGCTTCTGCGAGGCCCTATAACCCCCTCCCCCTGCCCCCCTCGGCGCGTCCCCTCGGCGTGTGGCTGGAATATTGCTTGGAATCCCAAAACGGTGCGGTGACGGACCGTGCGGTGACCTCGAAATCCCCCTAGACCTCACCGCACGGTCCGTCACCGCACGGCTTTGGGACCTCGGATGCCCCTGTCGCCCGAGACGTCCTCGGAGAGGGACTCGAGTCCCAAAACCGTGCGGCGACCCCGAACTCCCACCGACTCACCGCACGGCATGGTCACCACCCCGTTCGGGGGCCCCCAAGATACTGGCGTGGCGCGGGCCGATCCCGAGGGGAACGGGTCCTGGACCCCGGGGCCGTGCCTGGGAACCAGCTCCTCATCCCTCGGCGGTGGACAAAGCTCCCTTTCGTAAACCTCCATTTAGCGAAGACGGCCTGGGACCGAAACCGACGGACCTGGACCCGCAAGAATGACGGCCGCGCCGCCCTGTCGCGAACCGAAAGCGGCCAATTCACTAATCGACGTGTCAGGGTAGGAGGTCTGTCCAAACCCCGAGCTTCGCGTTCTTGGAAATGCGCCGAAACTGGGACGGCCCGATCGAAGCACAGATACAGTCGGGCTGCTGAACTAAGGAACGCCAAATTCGCCGGCCCAACGGGCCAGAGGCGTGCTAAGATCTGTCCGACCTCCGAGTCCCGAGCGCTTGGTCCGACGGCTGGGGGCCCCGCGGAGGGGCCCCGGGGGCGCGACCACGGCGGAGGGCCTCAGGGCCTGCTCCCCTCCGGAGGGCGGCGTCGCGTGTGCAGGACAGGGCGGCGCCTGCAGCGGTCAAGGGGCCCCATGGGGCACACAGTCAACTGCCCACAAATCAAGGGATTCCCCGTATGTTCCCATGAGCTCTGGGTTTCGTCTTCCCCCCCCCACACACTTCCCATATTTTCCCATATCTTACGCAGAAAGCATCTATACCCCACCACCGTGCCAGGCCAGGGGCCATCCTGGGCCCTAGGATGGTGTGTACGCCCTCCTGGCCGAGCCAGGAGGGTCTATGCACCATCCTAGGGCCCAGGATGGCCCTGGCCTGGCACGGTGGTGGTGTATAGATGCCTTCGTCGGAATATCTTCTGGGGAATCGACGATTCATTGTGTCTGTGTGATTTTTCCCCCCGCCTGCATCGGAGCGAGCTGAGGCTGCGGCCTCCTTCTTGTCGTTCGGGGGGCAGAAGGGGCCGCTCTCGGGGCTCACCTCCACCACGCGGCTCCTGGCCAGGCGGCGGGCCCCGCAGGAGGGAGGGCCTGCGAGGAGTCTCGTTCCACCGATCCCCGTCCCCAGCGGCGTGGCCTGGGCCCCACCGGCCGATTCCCCCCCCCCAGACGGGGATCTAGGTCGTTCCCCTCGGGCTCCGAGGCATTATCCCAGCGGATGCCACGACAATGAACACCCGAACAGTCCTATCATCGAATGGAAAAAATGTGTTTTAACTGTCGGAAGGATGTCCTGAACATGTTTAAACCATTTCTTAGATGTTTAAAACAGTTTTAACAAATTATCTAGACATCTGGAAATGATTTGGCAACATGCTTCCTCTCCATTGATCGTCCTCCACAAGGTTATCCCCGACTGGGGTGGTAATTTGGTGGGGGTCTCGAAGGGGATGGGGATGGGGATGGGGAACGATACCCGTGCGAGAACCACGGGGAGTGACGAGACGGGAGGTCAGGAGGCAACTAGTACTGGGAGGCTTTCGTCGGAAAGATTTAAACAAAGATTAAGCCCCATTGGGGGGCTGTTACGCCGGAGTGGGCCTCGGACTGAGCCGGATTAAGCGGGAGCAAGCCGGATTTCGGACCACTCGCCATCGCTCGGACGTCCATTCCCTGTGTTTTTTTCGGTTTCGCGCGTGGTTTTTTCGCCAAATGATCAAGGATGCTCCTCGATGGTGCTCGCCGAAGGAAAAATGTACACGTCCGAGAGCGATGCCAAGACCATGGCAGAATCAGAACTTGACCTCCCAGAAGCTGCATCCGAAGGGGGGGGGCGGCACGGGGAGCGGGCGACACGGGGAGCGGGCGGGGCACGGGGAGCGGGGGGGCGCGAGGAGCGGGGGGGGGCACGGGGAGCGGGGGGGGCACGGGGAGGATCCAGAGGGGGGGAGCGCGCGGCACGGAGGAGGAGGAGGAGGAGTGGAGGAGGACAAGCTAGGTGCGCTCGCGTCATATCTGACGTCCTACCCCTCCCTCCCATCCCTTACCATGGCGCTGATTTTCTCTATCCGCGGACGCGTGTCGTAGCGGACCTGTGGCTCCGCGCGCGCGTGCGTAGTGGGTGGTGGTGCGTGCGTGCGTGCGTGCGTGCGTGGTTGTCGTGGTGGTGGTGGTGGTGGTGGTGGTGGTGGTGGTGGTGGTGGTGGTGGTGGTGGTGGTGGTGTGTGTGTGTGTGTGTGCGTGTGTGCGCGTGTGCTGTGGCATGGCACGGGAAATGACGCCAGCGCTGCAGCGGGAGCACGAGTCGAAACGGGCGGAAGCGCGGAAATGAGGCCAGCGCTGCAGCGGGAGCACGATTCGGAACGAGCGGAAGCACGGAAATGAGGCCAGCGCTGCAGCGGGAGCACGATTCGGAACGAGCGGGGCCCGAAAATGAGGCCGGCGCCTCAGCGAGAGCAGCATTTTGAAAAAATGCACGCGAAAACCCAACTCCCGGAATCCTGTGTGTAAAAAACAGGACGCGGGGGGGGGGCGGAGGAGGAGGAGGAGGGAGGAGGAGGAGGAGGAGAGGAGGAGAGGAAGAGAGGAGGAGGGAGGTGGAGGAGGAGGAGGAGGAGGAGGTGAGGAGGAGGAGGATAGAGGAGGAGGGGAGGAGGAGGAGGAGGAGGAGGGGGAGGAGGAGGAGAGAGGAGGAGGAGAGGAGGGAGGGAGAGGAGGAGGAGGAAGGCGGCGGAGGAGGAGGAGGAGGAGCAGGAGGAGGAGGAGGAGGAGGAGCACGCACGGTGCGGAAGGCGCGGGCCGAAGCGTGACGTAGGAAAAGGCGCTGGAAGGCAGGAAGAGGGGGGCCCATCCTGTTCCTGAAGAGGGCGAGCCAGCGAGCGAGGCCCCGATGCAGGCTCCCAGGGGCTTCTTCGGGCCCCCTATCGCGGGATGGCGATTAAAAAAAAAATGAGAGAACGATCAAACACACATTTTCTGGCTGTTTCTGGACAATTTTCTGACTGGAGGAGAAAGATTCAAAAAATAGTTTTCCAGCCCGCGGCCGCTTTTTTCTAATCGTCATCCAGGGGGCCGCCGCGTGAACACGACCCCCGGCCATCAATTAATCGCCATCCTCCATTACATGTTCTTGTAAGCTGCCTTGGACCATCTTGGGCCATGGGGGCCCGAGAAGGCCATTGAAGCACGCACTGGCAGGAACGCCAAAAGTATCCCAAACACACGGCGGCTTGATGAGTCTCGCCGTCTGGGGGGCCTGCGAGGAGAAGTTGTTCGGCACGGCATCTTGGCCCGTCTTTGCAAACCACTGTGCTGTCTGGGATCATACTGGGCCATCGTGGCGCCCTCCTTAACATCATCTTGTGACCGTGTTGGGGCCTGACACGCTGTGACCCGCGCTCTTTCGGGCGTTGGCAGAACTGGGTTTAGGGGAACCTGGTTTAGTGATGTGTGCTGGGGGACGCCCCACCGCCCCGTTCCACTGACCGGAACTGCCGTCACCCGAAAAGAACCAGCTACGGCAAACCTGGTTTAGTGAGTCTGGCCAATCCAAGGTCGGGAGCGGCCAGGAGGGGGGTGTCCAAGAGGGGGGGGTGCAAATCATGACCGGCGGCATGTGCGCGGCCCAGCGGGGGGGCCAGGGACGTAATGAAATAAGAAGAGGCGCCACGAGATCTGGGGAAATATCATGGCCCCCGCCATGATATCCACCCCCCCCTAGTCATCACCCCCCTCTTTGCCGCCCCCGATCCAAGGGCCCCAGGGCACTACCACTGACCGGGTCCCCTCACCTGGGGTCCTGGCTATACCCGACTCTCCTGGGAGGCTCTTGGCCGGCCTGCGCCCGCCCCTGCGTGGCCGTCGCCGACTAGCGGCGCGCGCAGAAGGGTATTGGGGAGGGGGGAAGGCACCTCAGCAGCACCCCTGCCTCTTAGAGGGCGCGGGCCTTGTCCACAAGTGTAAGGCCGGCGCCTTCGAAGAAGCAGCCTCCTTCTAAGGAAGCCTTCCCCCCTCCCCCTCCCTCCCTCTGCGCGCCACCAGGCCGAGATACACCACCCTGAGGCTCCTCCCCGGTCCGCCCTCCGTGCCCCTCCCCCCGGCCGGCGTGCGCGCGCGGCTGCTGCTCCGACCCCCGGCCCAGTGTGAACGATGCCTGCACACAAACATGAAGGGGAATTGCGACACACACACACACACACTAAGAATCATAATAATGATAATAATAATAATAATGATGATAATAATGATGATGATAATAATGACAATAACAATACGCACAAATAACCATATTCCCCATATTTCCCAACATTTTCTGGGTTTCTGCCTTCCCCCCCACGTCCCATCTGTTCCATGTTTTCTGGGGAATCGACGATTCATTGCGTCTGTGTGTGTTTTTCCCCTTCCGAGAACACAGAGCGTCCGGCTCGGCCGCTCTCACCAAGTGGGGTGCCGTGCGCGACGAGACGGATCTCTCTCTCTCTCTCTATCTCTCGCTCCCCCTCGTCATAGAGTCGAGCATCTGAGTACAGTCATCGGCCTGACCTAAGGAACGATAAATAAGGAACGAAGCCCCTTTTTTATCCGAAGGAATAACACAGAAGGAACGATAAATAACAAGTAACGCATAAAGAACTGTAAATAACGCATGGGAACCTAAGGAACGACCGAGCCCCTTTTGAAAAGTAAGTGCTCCTTATTCAAGCCGCTCAGTAAGACATCTCCCCCCGAAAAGCGGGGCCGGCGCTTCTTGGCCGACTTGGCGGGAGCCTGGCCCCACTTCTTGAGCCCGCGCGCCCCAGATCGCGAACGCTGAAAGTCGGCCCGAGTTTGCGTGACGAGAGTTCCGGGAAGCTGGCCCGGGCTTCTTACATGATAACTTCCTTGACCACATATTCGGCCGTATTCCTCCGCCTCCTCCTCCTCCTTCTCCTTTTTGACGTTGCACAGTAATGGATCGGAGATCGCTGCGTGCTGGGTGTGCGCAAAAAAAGCCGAGCCTGGCGGGCGCAGCAGACAACGTGAAAGGCTAAGAGCAGCGACAAGGGTACATGGGGCCGTGAGGCCACAGAGCCTGCGCCCCCCAGGCCGCACAGTGGAGTGGGGAAGGACATCAAGCCAGAACCTAAATTGAACCTCCTCCTCCTTCTCCTCCTCCTCCTCCTCCTCCTGCTGAAAGGGTGCTCTCCTGTGCCTCCTCCTCCTCCTCCTCCTCCACCTCCTCCTCGCCTCCTCCTCCTCCTCATCCTCCTCCTCATCCACATCCACATCCACATCATCATCCTCATCCTCATCCTCATCCTCATCCTCATCCTCATCCTCATCCTCATCCTCATCCTCATCCTCATCATCAGCATCATCATCAGCATCAGCATCAGCATCAGCATCAGCATCAGCATCAGCATCAGCATCAGCATCATCATCATCATCATCATCATCATCAGCATCAGCATCAGCATTATCATCATCATCACCAACATCATCAACATCATCATCATCATCATCATCAGCAGCAGCAGCAGCAGCATCAGCATCAGCATCAGCCATCATCATCATCATCATCAGCATCATCATCATCATCATCATCATCATCATCATCATCATCATCATCATCATCATCATCATCATCATCATCATCATCATCATCTTCCACGGCCTCCGTCTCCGCCCACTTCGTCGCCGACATCGTGGTCCTCTTCAGGGTCGGCGGCACCAGCCGTCAGGCCTTCGCAATAACCTCCACCTCCTCCTCCTCCTCCTCCTCCTCCTCCTCCTCCTCCTCCTCCTCTCTCCTCCCTCCTCCTCCTCCTCCTCCTCCTCCTCATCCTCCCCCTCCTCCTCTTCCTGAAGAGGGTGCTCTCCTGTGCCTGATGCCGCCGCCGCAGGACGCAGAGCAGGTGGACCAGGCGAACCTCCGCCGCCGGCGGCGCGCGGGAGGCGGGCCCGAGCCGAGGCCCCCCCCCAGACGGAGGAGGAGGAGGAGGAGGAGGAGGAGGAGGAGGAGGAGGAGGAGATAAGGAGAAAGATGAGGATGAGGAGGAGGAAGAGGAGGAGGAAGAGG